AGTTTTTTAGAAAACTGGAGTTTTTTGTAAACAAATAAGTTGAAAACAAAAATTCCGGCTTTGTTAGGTTGTAGCGCTGATATTTACCTTCATTTTAAAACCTTCCCGAGCTTTCTAACATTTAAAAAATGGCGGAGAAATCTTTGACACACAGTCAAATAAAAGGAAAAAAAACAGTTTCGAGAAAAACGCAAAACATTTTTTTCTTTGATTATTTTTTGATGCAAGGGTCTTCAGAAAAACCGTTGTAAAATCCTCAAAAACCATCGAAAAACCAATAAATTATAGTAGATTCGAAAGTAGAGATGATGGGCTATCTAACTATGTATAAATCTAAAAATCGATATTTTTGTCGAAAATTCCTTTTTTTGGAGAGGGGGGTGGGCCTTAAAAAGTGCAACTCGCTGTACATTATAGAGAGAACAGTGTAGTAAATGATGCTTTACTGTTTCTTTCTCGCCACATAAAGAATTTTTGTCAGGCACTAATCCTTTGATGTAGAGATCATTATTTAATGACTAGAAGTTGCATCGCATTTGATAGTATAGTTTATCTATTTCACGTTTAACACTGTAAACTCGAAAGATCCTTAGTATGTCTATTTGTGTATTAGGCTTTCTTTTGAAGGCTCTTAAAGTGTTACGTGCACGCAATTTATAGTTTGAGTCGTTCCATTATTGTTTATTTTATTTTATTTTTTCATCTTCCTTATGTTACTGATACTTATTCATTTCTATTTCGTCTTTCTGTGTCTGTTATCAGTCAGATCTGATGTGTCTGTATGTGTTTATCTTTAATGTTATTATATACTAGCAACTTTTTTCTTCGTGAACAGACAAAATGATGTCATGTCCTCTTTCTTTTTATGCTGTTCTTAAATTTATTTTTAACGCAAGCCTTTTTCCTCTTTTCTTTTTACGAAATAAAGCTTACAACAATCAATTAAAGATCTTTGTTCTAATTCACAACTACTTACGCTAAATAACGTAAGCAATATCGTAACCTGTAACCTAACCTATAGGCTAAATTAAGTGGAGATAACCATTTAAACTTGATAAATTATTTGGACTCTGTTAATGGTATGCCAAAAAAATGCATAGTTCTATTAACAAATTCCTTAGTTTGACATTTATCATTACCAGCAAGGCAACATTAACTTGAACTATTTCTGTTCAATTATGAATGTTGACAAGGTTGGAGTTTATTCGGGTTGGAAAATTTCCTCGAAAGTGATAATCTCGAAAATAATTTGCTCGAATGAAGTTTTCTCGAACAGAATTTCCTCGCATGAAAACCTCCTCGAAATGTCCAAACAGAAATTATTAATATTATTTCCAGCATATAGAACCTTCTCAAATTTTCGGTTACATATGTTTGCCAGAGACAGGAAGGCCTAGGTCAAGTCCAGGTTGTATGTCCAGACCTGACCTAACAAAAGGACCTGTAAACCTGAACTTGAAAAGTGGACCTGTGTTTAGGTCATAGAAGATATCCTTAGTGACATATTTGTTCTAAATATCTGTCTATCTATCTCATCCTTCTCACATATTCTAAGAATTCTTCTTGAATTCTAGTACAGAATATAGCAAATTCACACAACTCTCAGAATGTTTTCCCACACTGGACCTAGCGTCCAGGTCACAAGTTCAGGTTATAGATCCACGTTTAGGTCAGGTCCAAGTCTAGATCTATTTTTTTCAAGCGCAGGTCTGTAGGTCAAGGTCCGGCGTTATAGGTCAGGACCAGGTCCTAGACAAAATTGTTCGTTAAATCACGCTCTTACGATAATTATTCTATTGTTAATAATTTTCCTATTCATTGTACATGGATGAACGCCCTGTTTTCTTTTTCTGCATAACAACACTTTAGCGAAAATAATAATGACGTTACGATAACTTCTTATTAAGTGTTTGATCGTTTTGGATAAAAGACTTTTGAGATATACGTATTTTGTATACTTTTAGTATTACTCATATTGTTGAATGTGATATTACTTCAGCTTATGTATCCTGTAATAATATTAACAACACCTTATATCTGTTCAACACTATCTCGTTTTATTTGCATTATAAAAGTTGTTGATATCCATTATCTCGTCGTTTTCTAGTAATGTTTCAAATTCAACACCATTTAGTGATGGTAAAACAGTTTGTAAAGTGTCAAATATAATCATTAAATCATATATAACATTATCATCACTTTTAACTTTAGTGTCAAATGTTTGAGTTGATGCAGTCACAGTGTCCAATCTTTTTCTCAACTTACATTGTCGGTAAACGGTCAGCATAAGCATTCACTTTTCTAGGATGTTGATTAGTCAACGTCGGGGGTTCGATTCGATGAATGCATGATTTGACCCATCGAGCATTGTTATCATAGATAATTGGACTTTCGACATGTAATAGAGCAATATCATGACGATAGCCATCCGATGAACCAATAAAATTGGGATGTATATAGATCTGATCGATTTTGCGCGTGATTTGTCTTGGATCTGATAGATTTGTCATACCGGTAGCAATAATAAGATCTTTATTACCTTCCGTTACAATACGTTTAACACAATGGGCAGCTGTAAGTACGAAAGAATTGGATAGAAGTGTCCCACCACATCCATGATCTCCATACACTTGGAGTGACACAATCATGGACCAATTGTCAACAACCGCATTGCTACCACCAACAATACGAGATGGTGAGAGAGCAACATCAGTGAGACCACAACCACATGTTGCTGTTCGATCACATCGATAAATGATCGGTGGTTTGGTGCCAGTCGTAGTTGTGGTTGTAATTGGTTCACTTATTACGGATCGAATCCAATCAGAATAGTAGGCTAGCCGTGTGTAAACGCCCGGAAGGCCTTCGAGAGAGCATCCTATTCCAAAACTTGCAATACCCACCTAAACACAATTATTGAATCAAACTCAAGGGCATCAAAAAACACTGAGATAAATGAATTTTATGTCCGCCGAAATCCGAACAGGTGACAAAAAAACATTCTCTGCAACAGAACTGCTCCGAATATCAAGAGATGTAAGTTATTTCCTTTTTTTACCTGTTCCCATCGGTCACCTATCCATTGAAAGATTGGTCCACCGGAATCACCTAGTTAAACATAAATTAATAACTACAATCGAAAACATTTTTCAATATACATACCTTGACATGTATCTACAATCACTTCGATAAAAATAAAATAAAATAAATAAACAGGCGAGAAAGATGGATTAGTTAAAATAAACCTTTGCCACCTTCATAAAGTGCAGCACAGAACTGTCCTCTTTCATCATTGAGTGATTCATTGCATATTCGATCATTGTGATGAATCAAAAATACTTCTACTTGATGGAGAATATCAGGTGAACTACTTCGATTATCCAATTGCGTGTCGTCCCAACCAGACACAACTAAATGTGTCCCATTAAGTGGATATTCTTCAATGCTCGTAGACCATTTGAGATCAGGCACACAAGTTCGTTTAATACGTGAATTTGTGGTAAAGTTGAGCGGTTGTGATAAATGTAAAATTGCAATGTCATGTCGACGTTTACTCGATAATGATGACCAGTTCGGATGAATATAGATTTGATCAACTTTATGAACAAGAACATTCTTATCCGATTTATTATGAATACCGGCTAGAATCAAGATTCCTTCGGGTGTTTTATTATCGACACAATGTGCTGCTGTGAGAATATACGATTCTGAAAGAATTGAGCCATCGCAAAAGTGCATTTTCAAAAGTTTATCTTGAATAGAGACGATCATTGACCAACTGTAAGGAATTGCTTCTGCACCACTGACAATTTGTGCGTTCATTTCGACATCAATGTAGCCGCAACCGCACTCCACTGCTTCGTTATCACAATCGTAACGGATACGAGCAGATACGGAAATAGTGAATAGAAATACTAATGCAATACCCCTGAATCGATATTCCATCCTAGTCTTGTTAAAAATGCGTATTCATACACAAAAATGACAAGTTCTTTTTTGCGATTGAGAGCATAAAGTTATATTTGTCTTTCGCTTTTATGAAGTATAAATGTTATTTATCTAGCATATCGATCGAAAGATATGCATTGCTGAGGACAAAACAAGATTTTAACTGAATGATGTACTTACAGAAGAGAATCTGCTGTAGAAATTGATTACATTATAAATATGTTTTTCTTTCTTGTTGTTATTTTTTCATATGTATCTGTAAGTATATTGAAAAAACATATTACACTGATATCATATCAAAGTATGCATATTGACCATCGAAGAAATGAAAAAATAGGTGCATGAAATAAATGTATTTCGTGTTGTCTGCTTAACGAAGTGACATGAGAGCTTTGAGAAAGAGAAAAGTCTACATAATCGATATCGTCACAATAAAATGAATTTTTATCAAATGAAAAGTGAATCAGCATAAAGAAAATTTGTTTTTTAATGATAACATCATTTTGGGCTATGGATTAGTTTTGCTTCTATCTCTCTCTAGGGAATATAATAAAAAATCCATTGAAAAACAATTTGTCCATTGGTTTCTTGCTCTTGAGGTAGTACGAATTTGAAAAACATTAGATTAGATCAAATCAATTCGGGGTCAGTTGTATGGCATCCTTATGTTTATGTTTGCAGTGTACTTTTTTGTATGAGCGAAAGCTACAATAATCACATCATTTGTTTACTGTATATTCGATTGCAAGAATAAAAATAAGCAATACTGCGATCAGTCACTAAGCCTGAAATTTTAAAAAAGTTTATAGTCAACATAAAAGAGAGAATAAAGAGAAACGAAATTCGATCGCGACAATAAGAAATTCGAAATGTAAAAGCAAATTATCGATAGAAAAATGCATCACGGTTCATTGTGAGATGGCGTCAAAATGTATTTTTTGATCAATACACTTTTATAGATTGACTTCTTTCTTTTCTGCTCATTGCCTATACTCTCGTTTCGATAGGAATTTTCTGTTCCTTAGACACTGGATCACGCAAACAAACTTGAACTTTTATGTAAAGATTTTTTCTCTTTTTGGTCTCGATCGTTTATCTATCCCTTTCCATTCTTCTTTGTCATGCTGATAGTGGGCCAACAAGGTGACGAAAGTAAATAATTGAATTTAGGTAAGGTGCTGGTAATTTAAAGTTACAGCACTTTTTATTTTTAGCTCATTTATACACCATTCGGAAGAGGAGATCGAGCTGATTACGAAAAACTAGTTTTTAACTTTTTCAGTGAAAAATAAAATTCAAAAACTTTGAATGCCAAAAACACCAAAAACCGCTAGTTTTCAAAAAGAATGAATACTGCGCTGCTAAAATATATTGGAGCTCTAAGACATCGTTTTTCAGTATCAGCGTCAAAAACTGAATATAGAAAACTAGTCATCAAGGTTTCGCACTAAAAACTGAATTTTTGGCGCCACCTCGGGACCCTCATGCTCGAAGTGATCATACCTCATCTTGCAAACCTATCTAGTTTTGTGTTGAGGATGATACCCTGAATCCTACGCCATTCGATGTGTCTTGACGACCACCACAAAAGTATATCTCGATTTTTTTTGAAAATTCTTTTTAATTTCGGAATAAACAAATTTTTGTTACAAAGCAGGTGATTTTGCCTAAAATCGGACAGATCAGCTTTCATTCGAACTGAGTGAGAATTCGATTCTATAGGTAGATTATGATGCTGAATCTGATGAAATCACTTTCAGCTTTTCAAAAAACCCACCAGAAGGTTTAGAAAACCGGATCTCCAGAAACGTTTTCAAAACTTACTGTTTTAGTAACGGCCTAAATCGATAGAAAATCAAATTCGGAACAAAACGAGACTGACCCGGTACTTTTGTGACCTTCTCGAGCTGAAATATTAGCCAAATGTCTGAAGAAGTCTGTTCCGTCCACACAAAATCTGGTGTTTCGGCTTGAGAAGATCATAGAAGTACCGGGCCAGTCTCGTTTTGTTCCGAATTTGATTTTCTATCGATTTAGACCGTTAGGATTTTTTCAAAAACTGAAAGTGATTTTATCGGATTCAGGTTCATATAGGCATAAGAGCGTCACGTAAAGACGCTCATATTACACTTAAATCAACTTTGACAGTTTCTACTTTAGATCCCAATTCTGCTTATGCCAGCAAGAATTTCGATTTAGACAGGGACAGTGGTGGCGCGGAGTTTTGATAGGAAGGTCCGAAAATCGGACACGTTCACCAGAAATTTCTCAAAAGCATGAGCGGGGTTAACCCCCATGCAACCTGGTGCCGAACCATCAAGGAATTTCCGGTTTATAGAAAATCAAAAAGGGCTTTCTGGTTTCTTGAAAATTATTTATGGAAATTTAACAGCGATTTTCTAACAAAACCAAGGAGGATTTTCTAGATTGTTGGACATTAGATTTTCTATAAACTGAAAAAACAAAAATGAAAAACGTGACATGTCACTATCTGACACAACCGTGTAGGGTGTAACCGAGAAGCTATTTTTTGTAAGACGCTCCAAATTCAAAGGAATAACACTATATTATTTTTGCCTTAAAGATACATCATTCGACGCAGAATTTCACGCTGCCCACTGAAAAAAAAATCAAAATTCATACAGCATCCCGTAGGACTTTGCGCAGGATCCCGCGGGTTATCAGTACTAAAATATCTGGCGATGTTTCTTACTTTTACGCAGGATTTTTATACTGCCAGCCCTGACAGAACCCTGCATAGTTTATGTAGGATCAGCATGGAAAAAATCCTGCGTAAAGGTAAGAAACATTGCAAGACTTTTTAACTTATTCAATCCACAAGTTTTTTCCTACGCGATCTGGTAGAATTTTGTTGGTTGAAAGAAAAAGGCTTTTGTTCTCCATGTCTATCCTGCGGTATCCAGCAATCTTTTCTCACCAATATCTGTCAGGATGACCGTGGAGAACGTTGTCTGTATTTTGTTTTTTTTGGAAAGTTAAGTACTTTTTTCTTATAAAGTTATAAAAAATTTTCTCGTGTTCAATAAACTTCTAGAAAGCGTATACTTTAATATTTTGATTTTAACACGCATTTTCATGTGTACAAAACCAAACTATTAATAGATAGTTGAAAAGATCTTTTTTATGTCAGGAACATTCTACTTTTTTTCCGTCAATAATACATTAAAGTCATTAGAATGATCATGCTACTGTGAAAAAAAGACGTATAGCAAAGCAGAGATATCACACTATTCTGAATTTCTTCAGCTTTGAATAGTATCTTCACGTTTCGTCCTGTTTATTTTCTAGCATTCCATTCATTTTTTTCTATCAACTGTGTACTAATTAATATTAATATAAGTCATTAGGATAACGTAAGAAACTGATACATGGCTGATATCTTACGTGTCAATAATAACGTGTCTGATAACGTATCAATATGGACTAGTTCGTTTTTCTAAATCTGGATCAATAGCTGTTTAATTTTAGCGAAGTCATTTTGTATACTCCATGATAGAATTTACTGTTTAATGGAAAAGCTTTTGTAAAGAAACAATACCCATGAATGAAACAATGGCAAGGATCTGACGAAACGAGAGGCTGAAAGTTTACAACAATTGTGATAATAAATTGAAGGAGTATTTTACACGATATGAAAATGTTACT